ACATGCCGGTTGTGGAAAGGCAGTTTTCCAGAAAAAAAACATCTAATTAAGCTTTTGCAGACCCTGGGACAGCAGTTCTGGCTGAAAAGTAGAGCTGCAAGACCGGTCTTGTTTCTTGTGTGAGATGATGGAACATACTGCCCCTACTGGAGCACCCCCTTGGAAATTTTCTCTTATTCCTGAAGAAGTAAACTGCTCCCTTCCCCATGCCAAAAAAAAAAAAGTGTGAAGACTTCAAAGTTGGAAGAATCAGATCCTGATTGTTACAGGACTTGAACCTATCAGCTGCCAAAGGCAATCTCTGAAAATGTGATTCCCATCACTTGCCTCATTTTCTGATGTCTTCTTCCTAGACTGTGCACCAGTATCTTGGTTTCAAGAGCATGCAGATACTGATGTAAGATTGCAGCAAACTCTGTGTTGCAGGTTTCCCTTTCCAAATCACCCTTGGCTGCTTTTCAAAGATTGTACACATCCTGACTGCTAAGGAAAACACCTTCTCCCTTGCTCCCCTCCATTGCAGCATCCCAGCCTGCATGATGAGAGTGAGGATGTGGTTTTCAGCACACTTCCCTGCTCCAAAAGCCTTCTAGCTGCTCCAAGCATCTAGTGATTTTTGGTCAAGTAAGAACCTAGCCATTCCTCCCAAACAGCACTACAGGTTGCCAGGTTCTGTCCTCCAACACCTTTGCTTAAAAAGCACTGCTGCTCCACAGGATGCAACTTCTATATCTCTGATTTGGCCTCAGGCACACAGACTCCTTGAGGCACTAGACACATTAACTCCTCCTCTGTTAGTAAGCACTTCTGTGTCTTTCTTCTCCTCCTTGCCCAGAAGGCTCAAAAATATACACAGGTCACAGAAGGGGATTGAACACTGGCTTCTGACTTTTCAAACAGAAAACAGGCAGGGGGTTTATCGAAAAACACACACAGAGAAGGTCTTTAAGTGCAAAGGAGTCTGTGGCATTTGGGATGTCGGTGGGAGAACTGCCCCACTCTCATACCCCCCACCTCCAGGCCAGTTCCGAGCCTGCAGCCATACCCAGCGTGGGACTTGCTGACATCAAAAGCAAAGAAAATTGCTTGGCTGTTTAGGCTGGCTTAAAGTGAATACTCCTGGCAGGTTTTAAGCCTAGAAAGGTTTTAAACATTGCATCTTTGCAGTGTGCTCCTGCGAGGATACAACGGGCAGCCATGAATCAAACCTGCTTGCTCCCTACAGACCCATTACGAGACACGTCTCTGACCAAGAAGTCATGGTAGGTGCTTTCTGTATACAGAGCAGATAAGATCAAAGACCTCAAGGGAGATGCACATCTCTGTCCAGAGCGACAGCATGCCTTAATCATCCAGCTTGGTGAATGCGCTGAGGAAAAAAAAAAAAAAGTCACGCAGTTATCGCTTGAAAATCAAACTTCAGTATTAGCAGTACACACAGACTGCTCCCTGGAAACTGTTTAAATAAGTGGAGGTTTCAAAAATATGAAAACTTGAGCAAAACCATGAGCAAAGGAAGGATGGCTGACTCAATCCTATCATTGCCACTTATGAATTATTCACTGTGCTCCAGCCCACGTGCATGAGGCACACTTTTTAACATACTGTGAGACTGCATCACAGATGGCTCCCTGCCATCTGTGCTGGGAAGTCCCTTGGACATGTATTTTGCAGCAATGCCATAGGGAAAACCCATGCTTGGGTCAAATCCTGTGCCTACAAAGGGAAGAAGGTCCTCTGCCTGCCTGCTGAAGCTCTAGGGTAGCCACAATGGAGGCCAGCACAATTCCTACCTCTCGTGGCTTGTGGCATTACTCACCCTTTCTAGACACATGTCTTCTAGCAGAAAAACACCAGCAAAATCCCACAGAAACAACTGAGGTTTGCAGATTGCAAGAGGGTTACAGGAAAAGTAGTCCTGTATTTGGAGCCTAAGGCCACTGCATCCCACATGGATCAGCTCCATCCCAAGTACTGTCATGTCTCCATGGACTGGGGGAACAGAAGAATGCTGGGGTCACCAACGGAGAATAGCAATCAGCCTCTTCTTCTGAACAGAAGTTTACTGTTCCCTCTCTGTATTTCCAAATCTGATTTCAAAAGTTCGGAGGAAAATTAAATCAGTCTGAAAATGCCAGATGGATTGCGAGTACCAGTTCTTTTATTCATTATTTAAATAAAGGAGAGATGAAGAGGGACAAATTATTTTGGAGAGAGCCTTTTTTGGTTTTTTTTTTCAGGAAGTAATCCGTCTGTGAGTCTAACCCAGAGGTAGTTTCTGCTGCCAAAAGCTGCCATGCCCAGAAGAGGAGGTACACATGAGGACTCACTGCCTGCACATTCTCTGCAGTTCTGAAATGAGCATGGTCTTCTTGGGATGGACAAAAGCCAAACCAACAAAACAGACCCTGGCATTTCTCTGCAGTGCTGAATATGTGCCAGCAGGACTCCAGCAGCCAGACCTATCCCATGGTATGCAATTTTTCAATTTCCTGCAGCCAACAGATCTTGTAGAAGGATTTCTCCTACTGCTGCAGTTGGCCTTGTGTCACTGATTCAACTTTATTAATCAGCCTCTGTGAAAATATAATCACCATCAGAAACCCTGTGCAAGGGAAAAGATGAGACACAAGAGCTGCACATCTTGGAGGTAAATCCAGGGGGAAGGTGGGTGGTCTGAGACCCCCTGAAGCCACATGTGCCCTGCCTACTCTCACTTGAGAAAGGACTGTTGAAGTGAGTCTTTATATCCAGAGTCACTGGGCATGGGCCACTCCATTACTTGCCTCAAAGGACATTTTTTGGAGGCACCTTAAAAAAACAGATACTCACTTGCCATGCTTGGCAGTTAGTCTGATTTGCAAAGTCCCTCTTTCCATCTGCTTTATTTCTGGCATGGGCAAACTGATGATGGCCCAGGGGAATGCTGAAAGAGCACATCACTGGGAAGCCCATTTGATGCTACAGCTCCAGCAGACAGGCGTGACTCACCTCACAAAGGCATGGTGGGACCAGCCAGAGAGACAATGAAACACAGTCACCACTGCTTTCTTTACACAGCAGCTTGACTGAACCTCCTGCTGAATCAACCACAAGTGGATACAGATGCAATTTCAACACCACACAGTGTATTAAACACCCGTGGCTTGATCCACTAGTATCTCCCATGGTTGTGGCTCCACGAAGATAAACAGGGACACATAACGAGAAGCTACACTTACCCACTTGTTCTTAGCACGAGACACATTTGTCACAGGTTTCCCATTTCCTGAAAGACACCTTCCAGTACAAAGCTGTAAGTGATAACTGTGCAAGGGGGCTACTCTTGGCCCGATGCACAGGGAGACAGCTATATGGATAAATTCTGCTGCAGCTAAGCAGAGTTTGGGACATAAGTCACAAACCAGGACCTTTTCCTCACCGTCGGCTCTGATCAGTGAGGTATCATCTCCTCATGCACAGCTACATTTACTGAGATTTATGCGGATTAAACGCCACACATCAGGGAAAATCCAATGGCAGCAATGAAATACCAATGCAAACCCACTAACAGGAAAACATACTTCTTCCAACAGCAGAGTCACTGGCAGCAGCCTTCACAACAGGAAAACAGTAAACAGCATTAGGACCGTGACATCCACTGATCTGCACTAAACAGGTGCCTTCAATGGGTGTCACACTGCTGTCCTCTAACATTCCTCCAGCTGATTCCATGCCACATCTATCAGCAGCATTCCCAGCATGCCTTTATTTTCTCTCCTCAAGAGAGGAAATGAGATGATCTGCCCAACACTTCAACAAGCCAGTTTAACTACCAGGGCAGGTATCTGCACTTCCTTGCTGCTGGCTGCCAAGCCTGTGCACATACACCTGGGTAGCAGGAATGAGATGCAGCCCTGCTCCAGCTAGTGTTTTTCTGCTCCACAGTGAGGATCTGCCAATCTACATCCAGCTGTCACACAGAATTGCTCACTGGGCTTCCTGGCTGAACACTGTCTGGAGAAGGCAGGGTGCGGCTCCAGTGATCTGGCAGCACAGTCCTCACAGACTCAAATGCCACCTGATTGTTAAATCCTGGAAGGCCTTCACGGTGGATAAATGCCAGTGGAGAGCCCTGAACTAAATGGCAGGAAGTAAGCCAGATAGGAAACGGGGGAGACCTTAAAACACAGAGCATGAGGGACAAGAGAAGGATAGGTCAGTCTCTGGGGCTTTACAGAAGTTGTGTGATGTGCCTGGTGTGTTGATGCACACGTAAGGAGATGAAATCACGTTCTTGCCTCCCATCGTACCAAGTGACAGGGGCAATGGCAACTCCATGTCCAAAGTGACAGGTCATTTCAACTTCTGAGCAAAGGAAGGGCAGACAGATCAGAGCCCTGGACAAAGCAATAAAGCAGTCTACATGATCTCTGCCTGTACAGTGCAAAACCCAGAATGACACAGTATTAGTGAAATCCTAACCCTACCTTGTTGGAGAAGCAGTGACAATGTACCATACCTCATCAGGCTGAGCCCAGTCACTTTAGCATCACAGTGTAGAAGAGGGATTAAATCTCCCAAAGTCAGTAAGAATAATTTTTTTAGGGTAACTGTAAAGTTAAGATGTTTTAGCCATTTTTAATCTAAATGGACTCTAAGAAATTTCCCTTTCCCAAGAGGAAAGACAGCCTTTTGTTTCCTGGTTTAGTGGATGGATACACCAACATGCAAAAAAGTGGAGGTATCTCCAAACAGCTTAGTGTAAAAGGAAAAAGTCACAAATCCTAAAAACATGTCCTGCTGAAAGAAAACATACTGAAGACTGCAGTAGTTATAACCTATGAGACAAGCACTGCCCACCTCCCACCCCCCCTGTTTGAAGAGGCCACAGTCCAACCCTCCACGCTGGAGACTTCCACCCGTTCCAAAGGGAGTTCTGCACCCGTTCCTGGGAGTTCTGGGTCTGATTGGCTCAGGCTCCCGCCCCAGACATTCCCCCAGGTTGAAGATCCACTTACCTGCCTGGTTTGTGGTTACATTTACAGACACAAACTGCCGGGCTCCGGGGCTCTGGTCGGACACTCCATTCACTGCCTCAATTTCAAAGGTATAGTTTGTATGAGCAAGCAGATCCACCATCATGACAGAGGTGTTTTTCAGGCCGGTTTGCTGGGGGAGGTACCTGACATGACCGCCACACGCCTCACACAGACCCGAGTGTGCGCTGCACTTCTTGCATGCAATATAATAAGACACATCTTTCCTTCCACCAGTATCAGCAGGGGGAATCCATTCCAGAAAGACACTAGTCTCGTTAACATTTGAGATGGCACTCCGAGGAGCAGAGGGGGGTCCTGGTTTGTAAAGTGAGAAAAACACATGGTAAAAACAGTATCATCAGTCATCCTGCTCGCTACTACTCTCTAGGCTGAAAAGAGATGCCCCGTTGCTCACATGTCAGAAAGTACACGGGGACCATTTGCTACAACACCTGAAGAACTGGGAAAACAGGGATTGGTTTTGAGCACTCCCACCTCTCTCAAGAGATCTGTGTTGGGATGCAGTCCCCTGTGTGGGAGGACAGGGATAGCTCAAACCCAAGAGGAGGAGCGCTGTACCCTGGGGCACTGTCTCTGGTGCTCTCCTTGCTTTTCCTGCGAAGGGATTAGCAAGTCTTTGCCCTGTCCAAGTCACTGTTGGCTTCACCAGGAGCAAGATTCCTCCTCCTCACCCCACTGCCCCTATATCACTACCCCTGGATCCTAAAAAAAAGACACACACTGGGGTTTTTACACTACCCAGGTACTCAACTCAGATGCCAAATCTTTCCTCTGTATGTACCCGCCTCTTCCCATCAGGCATTTGGCAGCAATGGAACCGAAGCTTAGGTATCCAAATCACACTTCAGGAAGATGCTCGAGGTAGCTCAAAGCAGATGGTGATCTCCACAGGCCACTGGAAACACGGCTGTATCCAGCCCTCCTGGTCCCTGCCAGGCTGGGGCATGGCTGGTTACCCACGCCACACTTGCATACTTTGCCAAGCCTCCCTGCTCAGGATGCCAGCATGGCCCTGGCAAGGCTATCCAAGGAGGAACAGCTGCTGCAGAGGTGCCAGAGCACCTGCAAAAAGCGGGCTGCTTCTCCTCACCCTGGTGGGAAAGGCCATGGCTGGGCAAGCAAAGCCCACCTGGAGGCACCTTCAAGACTTGCTTCCTCTCAGAACGTGCTGTGAGGTTTTTGTTTTCAACAAGCTTGTGTTGCAGATGAAGGGCAAGCTGCAGATACACCCTGAAGACAATGTGAAAGGACAAGCAGGAGTCTCATGCAAGATACCCTCATGTTAAGTACTCAGGGAATGCAAATGATGAGGAAGAAAGAGGAAATGCATCAAAGCAAGCCAGGATGGATTTTAGTCACAGCACCACCAGAAACTATACAGCAAAGGCTGGGATTTTTGCAAGGGAAGGTAACACAACACACTCCTCTTCAGTTTGAATGAAGTTGTCAAAACCCATGAGCAGTTCCTTGAAAGGAGTCCAACAAGTAGCTTCACTAGCTAGACATCCATACGAATCTAACAGGCTGACTTAGGCTGTCATCTTCTCGTTTTGTAGTGATAATTAAACTTGATTAGTTATTTAAAACAGGCAGTGTTGCAAAAATGAAATCACCTTATAAACCAGAAGCATTCTCTTCCGTTTCCTTTTTCTATTCCCCTCCCTGAGTCTATAAAATTTGTAACACTGAAACACTGTCATGATTTCAACTCAAGCTGTTCTGATTCAATGAGAAACTCACTGCCAGAGGAAATAAATATTGCTGATGTATTTTTTTGTTTGTTTTTCAAAGGAAAAACAGTTGAAGAAAAAACCTAAGTTAGCTTAGGAAATGGCAGATCATCTTTGTTTTGTTCTGTGAGCCCTTCGGATCCCTACAAACAGGGAGAAATCCACTCCCAAGCTGCAACCCAGGGATCCAGCACTATTTAGCTAATGACACCAACATACAGCCCAAGTCAGGACTATTTTCTGCAGTGCCATACTTGTACTGATATAATGGAAATTATGGAATTCATCGCTGGAGCTGTATGGAGTTACATGTATTTCACTTCAGGATTTTTTGTATGTTTTTTACTGGTTAAATTGCCCTATTTTTTCTTCCACTGGATGAGTGCCCTTTTGCTGATGCCAGTACTCTAGGAAAAAATAAAGAACTCAGGCACAAGAAACACTTACTGGACAATGTGTCTTTAACGGGGGATAAATTATTACTTTTGTAAAGTCACCAGAGGTTTTCACTTGCTTTGTACAGAAAAGTCAGCTACTCTTCTTGAAGGCTTAAAAACATCAGCTTCAGTGGAAATGCTTTAAAACTGGTGGGATTTTATAACCTATAAAATTAGTGTTCTCACAGGGCCTCTGAGAAAGGTCTTTAGTGGTCTACAGATATCTAAGAAAACCTACTTGAAGAATCCTGAAACTGTCTGTACCTAAATAAAACTTGGCTAAACCCCAGCTGGGAGAACAAAAGGGGTTTTACCTTCAGAATAGGGGGGCCCTAGATCTGCTAAGGTGGTCTGTTTTAATTTCCAAACTCCTGTTGTCAAGGGCACAGATATTAGTCTAGTGAGTTAAAAGGACATACATAATTTTTGTATTTGCTACTTTATACCCTAGGATTCACCCCTTTTGCACCACAACTTTCTGACAAGAGGCAAATACTTTCTGAAAACAAAGATATTGGTATTTTTCTTGATGGACAGCAAACCTGTTGTTTACTGATGCACATACTTTAAAATATAACCTGAGAGAAATTACTCTCAAGATAGAAATACATGTACGTAAACACTCAAAGTTAACTGCAAACTTTTTACAAGTAGACTCTTACAGTAAATAGAATAAAGTCTTTGATTTGTCCCACGTGTCATAACACTACAAATATTTCCCCAACATACTCAGCAACAATAAGGCTACTTGTTAGAGACATGAGGAGAAAGGAAAAGGATTTGGTTTTAAAGAGATATTGTGCTGAAGGAATTGAAGCTAGAATTACTTAGTTAAGAAGAAATAAAATGCAATTACTTCCTGGAAGATACATAATAATATTAAGAGAATTCTCAAGTGTCCATCAGGACCAAAATTTTTTCTTTTTGTCTGAGAGCACTGATTATTTCAGACTGCATCACAGCACTATTAGTTTCAAAATCACCAGTCATTACTTATAAAACATACTTAAGAAACTGGAAAAATTGAACAAAAATGTATTCCTCCCTCACCCTGTACTTAACTGAGCAAGTGACAGTGATACAGCAGCTAGTTTTCTTTAGTGATACTGGTGATGGTGGTGGTGGGGAGACTCATGCAGCTTGGAACTGAAAAACACTCACTTTAAATTAGGAAAATGTGATTTTACAGCTATACTGAGTGTCAAGGGGGCTTTGCAGGTGTAGACCTGAAAACAGACATTGATGTATTCTCTAAAATTAACTGCATTTCCTGTTAAAGGAATCCTATGAATATTATTATCTTCTGTGGCAATAAATAATAAAAACATTTAAAAAAAACCCTTTGCAGTATTTTCCTACCAGTCATGACTCAAGTCTCTCTCACTTGTGTTTTAGTTCATGATGAGCTGTTGCCTTCCAGATGTACCTGGACTGGTTTAAAACACCAGTGTCGCTACCTACTCTTTACTGCCCCTGCCAAAATCTTCTACCCCTGCTGCTGAGCTGGCACAGCACATGGGGCCCTGCTCATCACCTTCAGCACAAATACAGCAATATTAGGACATCTGAGAAAAGATGCATGGGGAAAGTGAGGGTGACAGAAGCACGTGGAGAAGGCTCAGATATTCCACCCTGCTGTTGGGGTGGTAGGTGTGAATGCCAGCAGAGGTGCTGCAATGTCCTCAGCTGTGCCTCTGGGGTTTGCAGTGGGGAACAGAAGCTGAGCTGCACCTTGATTGGTACTAAACTTCTCATCTGCCCCAGAAGGACTTGGTACCCTGGCAAGCCATATCCCAACACAGCTTCAGGCACCATGTCTGGGCTTTTAACTAGCTTACAGCAAGTTCTAAAAACAAAAGTAAAACCCACTCGGAAAGAGAACTACCCAAACAGTAAAAACCAACAAACTTAGACAGCCACCACCAAAAAATAAGCACAAAACCCCCAAACAAACATAAAAAGAAAATCCTACGGCATTTGCAGAGTTGAAAATTACAGCCTTCACCTACAGGATTTGAACTGCACTAGAAACCTGGGAGAGACAGGCTCTTGAAGTTAATTTCTTTTTAACAAGGGTTGTTCACCTAACTTGCTTGTGCCTCCCTGAACCCTGCCAATGCTGCTCAGGCCATAGGCATGCATAAACATCTTCCTCTGGGATGGCAGCTCCTTCCCTGTGCTAATGCACCAGCAGGACAGACTGGATGTGTACCCTTCCATCTCGAGAAGGGCAGAGAGCAACACTGATGGTGGGCAGGAGGCACTGTGGACACCAGAGTCTGGAATAACTCTGTCTCAGTTGCTGGCTTTGGTGCTGTCTGCACAGAAAAGCCTACTTTATGAGTGCTCCCAGAGCTCAGTGTGTTTCCCAACACCATGCCGGACCACATTTATCTGAGATTTTTAAGTCAGGCCAAGGGGCAAAATGAACATCAAGAAAGGCTGTAACTCACCCTGGCTATGGCTCCAAAAGACTCTGGCATACCTATTTAATAAACTGGGAAGTGCTTGCATGACTCACCCCCCCAGACCTCTTTGATCTGACAGCACCAGTGACTCCAATGCTGCCTAAGGCTGCCTTCTCCTTCCCTGAAGCACAGCATCCAACAGCCATGCTCCTTCGCCTGGTGAAAATCAAAGGCAGAGTTCAAGGGGCCTAATTCTGCTCCAAGTGCCTCCTGCGGGCAAGCAGAGAGCTGCCAAGGGCAATTTCCTTTGTGAGAGTGTGTCTCCAACAGGAACAGACTTTTTCTTTCTCTTTTTGGAGTGAAAACTTTGGAAGCTGGGAAGGACATCTGTATTCACTGGGAAGAGCACAACAGCCACTACCATCCCTACGTGATGCAAAGTAGTTCCCTACAGTATGGAAGTCACCACTGCACCACTGTCCAGAGGCTCTGAGCATGTATGGAGTCATGAACCTACTCTTCCTCCATTGCTTAAGTTTCTTCGAAGCCCCAACTGCTCCTGCACCAGTAGTTCAATCTCATTTCAGTAATTTTTAACCCCTTCTGTACCACAAAAATTACATTTGGAGCATGACAGTCCTAGCTCAGATCTGTGCTATGCTCAGCAGGACTAGCTGGGGGCATGGAAATTGTGGCCTTAAGTACCTGACACATAAACTGAACAAGGAACTTTCAAGGTACAGCTGACAGGATGGCAGGAGGAGGGTAAAATTAGTGATTCTGATTACACCAGCTCCACCCTGGACTCTCAGTACCCCAATGTGCCTGTTATACTGCCCGCCCTGACACCCAGGGGATAAATTCTACATTTTGGAGAAGCAGTTTCCAGCACAGAGTTTTGAGAAGAGTGACCAGCTCCAGGCAGATTGGAAAGACAAGGCTCTCTCCCAGCTTGTTTGTGAAAATGAGCTACGAGATGACACCAAGCAGGACCATGGAGACTCCATCCATGCCCATCCATGCTGGCAAGGACTACCCGTTGTTTATTCTGCGAGCGTGCCCCACACCAGCACCCATGCACACACCGACACGGATGTGAGATGCCATGCTGCTGGCTGAGTCCACCCAGGAGTGCAGGGGGCCAGACAGAGCATTTGCTCACTACAAAAAGTCCTCCTGGTTGCTTGGATGCCAGCCTTCTAAGCAAAAAGCACTGAAAAGTCTCTTCTCGTGTAACCAGAAGGACGGTGGACAAAGACAGTGACATTTCAAGTGTGTCAAGACTAGTTCAGACCCCAGTGCAGAGCCTGAAAAAGCACATTAGTTAGTATCATAATGTCTAGTCACAGTACAGGAACAGCTTGAAAGGATTAAAAACAACCCTATAAGCACATGCTTACTTGTACAGGCCATTGTAGGTGGGTCTGATTCCTTCCTAAAATAGTGCTCTTCACACAGGCAAGATGTGGATGCTTCATCAAGTGTGTAGCTGTGAGGGGGGCATTTGCTGCAGGATGGACTGTGGGGTGAAGCTTTGAAGAACCCAGGTCTGCATACTGTGAAAAGAAGAACCACAGGCTAAGCTCTCCCATCATAAAATTAGTCTCTTCACATTTCCTTTTTAAAAAAAAAACGTATCTTCAGCTATAAAACAGACAAATACTCACAAGCTATTTAGTTTGCATATTTTAAAACAGTCTATGCCACTAACAGATAGTGCATACTTAAATAACTGCATGAAAGAGAATGTGAATTTGTTGATTATTTCTTTCCCCTAGCATCTGCCATTGCTGGGTATTTATTTTCCTTGTTGAATGCATTAGAGGTAACATCATCTGTACTCTGCTTTAGAAAACATTACTGTGATTTCTTCCCCCCCCCCCCCCCCCCCACCGTTCAATCTTAGGAAAACAGGTAAAATACATTTCATGTTTTTTGTCTAAGATGTTCTACACCCAGAAATCAATGTCTCAGCAAACAAATAGCAACACAGTCGTGGAGGGGATCTCAAGATAGATATCTTTAAGACACTGTGATAGGGGTACTTCCCTAGGGTCCTTCCCTCTGCAAACCTGTGATGAATTTTAAAAGTGCTCCATATGACAGGCGATCCTGGGTACAGTCTGAACCAGGCATGCTCACCGCACAAGATATTTCTTTCAGCTCCAATACATATGCATGAGGAGGCATAAGGACTTGATCTGAGAGCTACTTTTTTTCTTACAAATCCATGGCTAAGGGTAGCTTGGGATTTTTTTTTTTTTTTAAGTAGTTTGAAATGAATACAGTAATATCTTGTTTCCATCCTCCTGAAACAAGTGCTTTTTCACCTATGCAAAGCTCTCTGCACTTTACCTGTGTGTGCATATTCAGCCAGAAGCAGTGACAGCCACAGTTTTGCAAGTGTATTTTTAGGAAAAAAGCCCAGCTGGCTGTGTATCATACCATTGTATACAGAATTACAAATGCACTGTTAGCAAAAGGAGAAAATGTTGATTTTCTGTTTGTCTCAAAAAGAAGAAACATGGAGACATGTTAAAGCAGCTCTAAAGTGCTGTTACCTTTCTTCCTTCTGAATTGCTTTAAAATATTTCTGCCCAGGATGATATTAATGATGCACAGATCTGCTATCAGACTAGAAGTTGTTACATGGAAATCCCAGAGCCTTTCCATCTGCATTCAAACTCTCCCAGTTGTAATTAGCTTGCAAAGAAAATGAGTTCACAGCAAAAGCACTAATATTATCCCATCAGGAATGTCCCAGACAATCACAGCATGTGCTAGAACTCAGCAAGTGATGACAGAATTCATCTTCACTGTAGGTAAAGTACAGGTTTTTGCTAGTGATCCCTTTCCTCTGATGGACCAACAAGGACAACTGCTTCTAAAGTTGGCTCTGCTTCCTGCAGTACCAGAGAAACTCCCTTGACATCCTCCCTTTTACGTCAGTAGCGTCTTCACCAAAGGTGAGACACTTGCACATCAATTCCCAACTCCCAGAGCTGAACAAGAAGACTTTGGTGATGAAGATCACTCATGCACCAAATGTGTGATTCAAGAGCATCCCAGGCCCCACCTCCACAGCCTTGCCTGGACCTCACACCTCTCACAGCAGCCCTGAAGCAGGTCCCAAGCCCAGCACAGGTCACCCCCATGGATCTCCAGCCCCTCCACCCTGTGTAGGGGTGATCATCTCCATTCTGGCCTCCCCAAACCAAGTGCTCTCCCACACAATTCCACAGCTTCCCTTTCTTCCCACAAGACAAGCAGAGAACAACTGGTTGGACTGGAGGGATTTACAGCTTTTAAAAACCCATTCTTCCAAAATTGCTCATCATCCAACTAGTGTTCCATTCCTCGGCTGTGGTATCTATCTGCAGGGTGCAGTTGTTCTGCTTTGTGCCCAGGCACCAGGACCAGCAAACAGATCCAGGGCTGAATCTGTTCTTTATGGCTCTTAGCAGATTTACCACAAGCTGCCCTCACGCTTTATATCACATCCCTCCGTTTCCAGCACATACTTAAGTTCTTTTATTTACTTTACAATCACCTTCAAATGCTGCCCTACCTACAGCAAGAGCTGTTACACAGTCTCTGGAGAGTCTTCTGGGAAAGCAGACCACCAAATGGCTCCTCTCTAGCCTGCAATTTGTATTTCAAAGCCAAATAAAACACCCTTGCACACACAGACAACAGGAATGGGGAAATGAAAGCACGAAAATGTGCAATGTGTAACAACAGCAGCGCACATCTAGTGTGTACTCCATGTAATTAGCCCTCAAAAAAAGGACCTGAATTTATCTCATTATGTTCTATCAAGACAGACAGAAAATCATTACAGCACAAGAGTTTACTATGCTTCTATTTTGTGCAAAGCAGCATATGCAAAATAAGTCAGTTTTCCTTGACAGATTTTAAACGAGGTGCAGCTTGCTGATGATGGTACGATATGTAGCTCAGCTCAAAGGGAATGTGTGGTTTTCATGAATAAATACGGAGCCAAGAGATGCACAAGGCAAATAACCCATGCTGTAATGAGAGATGTGAAATACAACTGAACTAGACTAATTTTTGTACAAACATGGGTCAGGTCCCATCTCTATTCAAAAAGTACAAGGAGGAATACTCAAGAGCATTACATTACAATGAAGACTTCAGCATGAGTCCTCAAAACAGGCAGGCAGCAGAGCAGCATCCTGTTGGACCGAGGTGAAATATTCCAGTGCCAGTTAGAAAGGAAGAATTCAGGGACAGAAGATGGCTTATGCAAAAGAGGGAATATAGAAAATCAAAATAAATGCGAGAAATGCCACAGTGCATGGTGTTGGCTCAATCTACACACCTGCAGCAGATGCTTTGGGGAGGAGCATAGTCTTGGCTGAGCTGAACCAGCCAAAAGCAGGAGCTGGTACCCTGTCCATTTTCTGCTACTGGTGGCAATGTCTCAGACATTTTGCAAATTTGTTTCAGAGCAGAACAGGGCCAAAACCAACTTACCTTGAACGTGTCTTGTGTTTTGGTTTCTTATCTTACCGCTGCTCTTCTGACAGTCAATCTTACAATCTCTTCATGAAGTATACATGACTTTATTTAACTTAAAATTACATGGGTATCTGGTGTTTAATTCCTAATTAAATCTTATTCTAGCCTTCTTATAGTTTTATCTCAGTATTTCCAATTTACCAGCTATCGAAAGGATACACAGAACTAGCACAGTACAGTCAGACAGATAATGGTACTATCTCTCTTTTAAAGGGGATAGGAAAGCAGGAGAAATAAGATGAGCTTAAGATTCCTCATAATCTGCTGCAAACCAGCTGAAAAGAAATGAAATGAAGTTTGAAGCTGTTGATGAGATCTGCTGCTTTCTTCTTAATATTAAAACTCTTTAACTGATTAACAGCCAGCGACGTGTGAAAATAGTCTTTAAATTAATTTGGTTGCTAGAAAAAAATTATTATTTTTAGAGATACCAAATACGCCATAAACAACCTGCTAGTGTTAGGTACGAGTGGGATGTGTTTCTGTTAGTAGCACATCCATTATTAGCAAATCAATTTCACTCTGTTTATTTTTAATAGCAACCACAAAACGCGGCATGCACAGAGCATTAACATCTGCGCAGCCTCTTGCTGCACACTTTAAAAGGGGCCAGAGAGAGATGGCCGTGGTGAAGGATGGCAGCAAGAGCATCTTGGGATTGCAATGGCATGAGCTGATCCCTTAAATCAACAGCATTAGAAACTGTCTTTGTAACTTGCAGAGGTACATGCTGAAAGACACTGGCTCCTGGAAGGAATGTGGGTGGACAGAGGTAGAACTGCTGATCCTCTCACAGTGAAAACTGGCCTCTGCGAACAACATGCTGGATGTTCTATACCAGCAGCAGAGACAGTGAGTACCAGCGAGGAGACAAAGCAAAAAGAGGGGAGAACAAGCCAGTAGCACCAACCAGCTGGGACGACTTGCCAAATGTGCAAGCCTTAACATCAAATGATTTGCAGCTGCATCCCTGCAACCATCCCTTCCCTGAGCTTTGGCTGGACTGCAGCCAACAGGCAGGGCTACTCTCCTCTCCAGCTGCCCCATGCCTTTGCTGCACACTGACCCAAGGCAACACATGCTGGAAACAGGGACCACATCTGAGGCTTTCCATGCTCTTGTGACCATGTCAGTAAAACCACCCAACTACCACAGAATCATTAAGGCTGGAAAAGACATCCAAGATCACCGAGTCCAACCTTTGACTGAACACCACTGTGTCAACTAAACCATAGCACCAAGTGACACATCCAGTCATTTCTTGAACACTCCTAGGGATGATGACTTCACCACTTCCCTGGGAAGCCTGTTTTAATGCTTGACAACCCTTTCAGTGAAGAAATTCTTCCTGATGTCCAACCTGAATCTTGCCTGGTGCAACTTTAGGCCATTTCCTCTTCTCCTGTCACCAGCTGCCAGGGAGATGATTTCCCTCCTAAATGATGCCCAGCCTTCCTGGACCCTTTTGTCCTTAAGGACTGTATCTGAAGCAGTGTCCTAAGCAGGCCAAAGTTCTTCTCTGGAAGTCCAAGGCAGGTTTTGTAGATACCTTTCCTTACTGTACCAAGAATTGAAAACTTTATAATTCCTTGGTCACAATGCCCAAGGCAGCACTCTACCATCATGTCTCCCACCAGCCCTACTCTCTTCATAAGTAGCAGGTCTAGCAGGGAACTGCCCCTGGTAGGCTTACTCACCAGGTGTGTCAGGAAGTTAACATTCCACACACTCCAGGAACCTCCTAGACAGTCTCCTCTCCACTGTGATGAGTTTCTAGCAGACATCCAGGAAGTTAAGGTGTCCCACAAGAACAAAGGATAATGTGAAACGCCAGCCAGCTCCTTGCAGAATACTCTATCGGTCTCTTTATCCCATAATTAGTATTAGTGGGAATTCCAGTTTTGTCCCTGTAGAGAGAGAAGCTAGGAAACATGACCCTATAAGCCTTGAAACCCCAGGAGATAAAAAAAGGTCCAACTTATTACTCTCTTTGCACTCTCGTGATGCTGGGAGG